AGTTGGTCGTACATGCCTCCAGTTCCATTTCTTTTAGAATCTCAGTGGAGCAAAGAAGCTTATGGTTTTAAAAGATGTTTATTTTTTTTTTCTATGGACAACTTTTCTTTCAGAAATTTTTGTTCTAATTTATAATGAATCCAATTTTTTAAAAATAAAATGTGACTGGAAAGATACGTTAAAGATGCCATTTTTCGATTTTCTTAATTTTTCCCAGAAATTTTTTAAATCCAGGAAAAAAATTGGAAAATTGTAGAAAAAACGAGGAAATAGGTATAATATTAAACAAATATTATTATATCATGCCTGATTAATTATTCTACCATAATACGACATATATATATTGTTGACAAAGCATCACTATTAACTGAACTCTACTCAGAATTGTTTTTTCGCCAACAATGGTTTATCGCAGTTTACAGGTATAAATTAAATTATTTGTAAATGTGGCTGACCTCACTATCCAAGAAAGTCTATTTTTCATATTGGTTTAAATATCAAATTCGAACGAAAACCGTAAATATAACGGTCTTTCAAATCATGTAGAATCGAACTCGACTCAGAATATATTTTTTTTTTTGCAATGAATTATCCATGTCAACAGATATGAACTATTATCAGTGTGTATCTTACCAGTTACCTTCCTAACTTTTTGCCTAAAATATTAGTGTGCCCATTAGTACTAACTCTTCTTTTTTCTTTTTTCGAGTAATGTATATTTTCTATACATTTTTGTTTATTATAATAAATGTTACCGAAATAATAATTTTTTACATGCGATTTTTATGTACGTAAAATAATATACTGTATGAATGCAATGTTGTAATAATACAATATAATATAGGTCGTGTATTTTTAGTAGCTATGCGACGATATTGGCTAAAACACTATTAAAACGTGCTTTATTAGCACACACAAGACGCGCGCGCTTGTATGGTAGTTGTTCAATTGAATACCCGGGCACGTAGTATTAAAACTATAGGAAAATAAAACGTAGTAATATACCCACTTTTATGGCCATTTTATGTCTTTGTACACTAAAATTATAAAAATACGCCACGCACCGTTTTGATGTGCTAAATTACATAAGGTACACGCGCACCGATATGTTAGAATATTCAATTATCCGTTTTAAAAATATTATTGTATCTAGCCCTAGAGCACACGCTACACTGTCTTAAAAACCGAGTTTTTTTGAATTTTGTTCATTGTTTCAAAAATACAAAATATTAACCTAACCCGACCAAGTAACCTTCTAATAAGGTAACGAACTACAAACCCTAACTTCATACGATCTGATGTCTGTAAAACAGAAGAGTTAAAAGTTCGTTACTTATACAAAAAGGGTCGAAAAGACTGTGACTAACCGTGACATTTATAATGACAATTTAATTTTATACAAATTCGATTGTGGGTTATTTTTAAACTGTGTTTCCTAATAATTTTTGGCCGATAAATGTTTATCAATCATTTTTTTTTTATTTTATCATTTTTTATTTTATCATTTTTATTTTTATTGTGTCTTGCGAGATTGTTGTTAGTTGACACTGGTTCGCCATACTGTGTGTGACTATATTATCCGTACGGATATGACGTCGAGCATTTATTACGTCATATGTGCAATCTAATAAAAATATTCCTGTAGACGAGTACATCGTTGGTGATTTCTATCATTTATCATCATTAATTTTTATTTTTAATAATACATATTTATTATTTCAATTAGCCAATTTTAATAGAAATATTTCAAAATACCGTCAAAAACACCGTGTGCGTGGATTCTCGTGAATATTTCTAAAGAATATGCTCTAAGGCTAGAAGAGGTAGCCAAACTTTTTTTCTTAGAAGTTTAATATGAATTTAATATCATTTTCCCTTTAACGATCGACTTCCACCAAAAAAACGTGTTTTTATTGTAGCTTGACATCTCAAATATATACATTTATTTCGCTGCACTAATAAAAATAAAAACAAATTTCCAATTCTTTATGAAAATGGTATGCAAGTTGTTTGTTTTTCTCCTCGCATACATGTATAATATTAAAATAAACTAAAAAGATCATCACTGAAACCGTCAGTGAATGACTTTTTAGCTTCTGATATATAACTTAGGTTCCTAATATATTATTACCAGGAATTTTTAATGACAATTCATTACGCGCCTACTTCCCCTTCACTTATTTCCTATGTTAATCCGTAAACATTTCTGAAGTGAGAAAATTGAATTTATTTGTTAATATACACATGTATATGATCTTAAATATTTTCAAAGATTTTATTAAATTTTATTCTCTGGAGATATTTAAACTACAGTATTTCCTATAAAAACATGATGTTTTTCAGACATAGGGTTTAGGGTTTGGTTGAAAATTGAAACCTCCATCTATGATAATTACACCTTGAATACTCGTACATTATATATTATCTCTCTAGTATAGTTTGGAGGTGTCTTTAGGAGTTTAAATTGATATAAAAACAACCTCATTCTACAACAAATAATTGTAAAATTAATTTTGGAATTAAACCAGAATTGTATTTACTTTAATTTACCGATATACTAAAAAATACCAAAAAAATAGCATTAAAAAAATATAAATATGTTATATTAATCTTTTTCATATGACATATTTGGGATTTAGTGTAAACATAGCCAATTTTAAATTAAAACCAAACGAAACAGTTATTTAAAAATAAATAAAAAATTGGATGTTGAAAAAAATAACAAAAATTCGAATTTAATGTACAATTATTAAATTTTTTTTTTTTTTTTTTTTTTTTTTTTTACGTCACTATTCATACACTAAGACGATATTATATGAAACAGAAACTATACAATGCATTATAATAGCCTTTACTTTCAGGAAGAATTCCATAGTTATAATAGTAATAATATAAAAAAAAGACGTCCTAGAATAATAGAGACAGGTGCATTCATTATTATAGGCAATTTAATGTATATCTATAAGCAACGATAAACCATTGCTAACGAAAAAAACGATTCTGAGTGGATTTCAGTTGATATTGATACTTTGTAAACAATATATATGATATATTAAAGTAAAATAATTTAATAGGCATAACATCTTTTTTTAAAAAATATGTAATGCTATAGTACAGATTCTCCCGATTTTCTTGGTTTTTACATTTTTTACATAACATTTTTTGAAAATCGAAAAATATCATCTTTATGTGACTTCCTCAGTTATATTCCCTTTTAGAAAAAGTATTATTATTGTAAATCGGAGTAAAATTGCTGATAGAAAAGTTATCTACAGAAAAAACAATCGTAGCATTTTATTAATATATTTTGAATTTTTTCCGATTTTTCCCATTTATTTGGATAACTCTTGGGGATATTACTTCTTTAAAGTATCTTTCTAGTCAAATTTTTTTCAGAAAATTCCTAAAATTTGAAATCGGAAAGAAATTTTTGGTGGAAAAGGTTGCACAACAAATCGGGGGGAATTTTGCATTGGTTTTTTTCCTTGGTTATGTAAAAAGAAAATATATGTAAACTATTTTTTTTCGAAACACTGGTTTGAATTCGAAACGTCTAGGATGATAATAGGCATGAATAAACATTGGATCACGAAAAATAAGCTCGAATAAAATTAATGTGAACTTATTTTTCATAACAAATAATATCTGCATATCAAGACATCTAACAGCTATAATTTTAAAATAAACATACGTTAAAAACAAAAAAATATACTGAAAAATTATATTTGTTCTATATAATTTTTCCGTCAAAATTTGGTATTAAAATTTCTTTATAAAAAATATTACGTTAAACTCATTTTTTTAGTTAAACTCCTATTAAACATTTTATTAAATTTTGAAGCAATCCTTTTAAAGTCTAACAAGTCTACTACTGAGTATTTACAGAATAAATATTGCGCACAAAACTCTCAAAATTTTAATTTCTTTAAATACCTTAAAAATAGGTTACATTTTTTAAAAATTTGACCATTTCTAGAAAAGGCATATACAAGTTTTCGTCAAAATTTCAAGTCCATCGAGTCCATAGGAATGTTTTTAACTAAATGTCAACAAAAATATTAAATTTTTATTAAAAACCTATAAATGGCTTAAATATTTTGAAAATTATACCTTGTTAAAAAAGGCAAATATTGGACTTCTGTTCAAATAGCAAGTCGTTATGAATATTTTTAACTGAATTTCAACAAATAACAAGAATGAAAAATAATATAAGCATTTTATCGTGTATTTCTCGTTTTTCTTACGTTTTATCCTGGTTTTTCGGTACACAATATATAAAAAAACAAAAAAAATAAATAATAATAATCATTTTAGTATACAATCTTCGCTACACTCAGAATCTAAAATTACATGTATAGTGTTCAAGAGTTCGCATTCACAGCAGGTGGAGAATCGGCGTCGTTGCTGGTTTGATAGCACTTTAGGAAAAGGCAAAACTGTGCAATGACATTATCATTATTGCTGCTCAAAAGCTTTGAAGAAAACACAGGTGAGACGAGAGAGAAAATTACATTGGAAGAAAAAATTCGAAAAGCACGAAATCGGTGTGACGGCAGAGGAGTGGTAGTTGCGTTATAGAAAAATAACGCCCGTGCACAGTGAACAACTGTAAAAATGCATGCCTTTTAAAAAAAATAATAGACAAAACCAGAAAAACCAAAAAAAAAAAAAAATCGAGTTTTAACATATTTCTATGGGATAAACACGTGGTATAGCAAATGGTTTCAACCTTATCCTTGTTAGTATATACCATATAACTTTAACTTGATTATAGTTATGGAATTATTGTAGTTAAATTAATAAAATGTATAACTTACTGAATGAAAAACAAGAAATAAACCTAATTTAACAATATAATTTATTTTATATTGTTGTAATTCAAAAATAAAGCGGGGAGGTTTAGCCTAATTATATAAAATTGATTCACACGTGTAAGTTAATTATAAATTTGATTACCTTTCTTCTTCAGGCGGCAAATTAATCTGTTGAATTTGATGAAAGTGATCGTAGTAAATAAAAAGATTTTAATATAACAACTATTTCTTTTTTATTAATTTTTTAAATATAAAACACTGTTCTAGGTTCCCGTGCTTTAGTAAGAATCTCTGCGTAGTCTTTTACACTCGCTTGTGATCATCTGTCCAAAAGCAACGGGAACAATGCATACACTGTGTTGATTAGAAGTGATCGGCCTCCTTATAACTGGAGATCTATGTGTGTGTGCGTGTGTAAATGTGTCATCTTAATCTGGTTAATACTAACAACTTAATCTAATAACTAATGGCTACAAATTATTATAATTAATTTACAATATTGATCATATAATTTATTTTAATTATATATGATAGCTTAAGTATTATCTCCTTACGATGAGTAAATATCGCACTAAAATATATGTTNTAGAATATCATTACAATATACGTATTAATATTCATATGAAAAAAAAAAAAAAAAAAAATATGATAATAGTCATTTTTTTTTTTTTTACTTTTGCTATAATGATTAAACGAGAACGAACATTTAAATTAAACATTTTCGTTTAGAAAATAATTCTCGTTATTCAATAGTTTTCATAAAATGAACGAAAATTATCCCGAATAATGTAATTAGAAACCCAAGTGAAATATTTCGTTTACTTTAAAGTATCTAACTAGATGAAATAACAGATAGATAGACAAATCCGTACACTGCTAAAATTACGGCAATATCGTGAAAACGGCATTTCCGTCGCTCGCGGCAGCTCCAATAGTTGAACATTATTATATAAACAGTTTGTTGTTGTTAAATTCGCAGACGTTTTGGTAAAAAAAAAAAAAAAAAGAGCGCACATTTGTTCTTACGTATATAAACACTACCGAGATTTCCCTATACCATAGCAACCGTGTAATAACAGCACAGAAATTCCCAGTATCGATATGTTTTATATCGTTACGCGTAGGTATAACATTATATCCGTTGCGATGGAAAATTACGAACGTATTATTATACAATAATATTATTCCGCTATTTATTTTAACCGTATTCCCGGTGAAATATTAAAAAAAAATAATAATATCCATTATTTTAAGTTAAAAAAAAAAAAAAATAATAATAAAAATAATGGGTTTCTTTTTTAGGATATATAATATGATCGCGATGAAAAAAATAAAAAAGAAAAGAATCGTCTCGATTATAGAAAAAAAAAAAAAAATAATAATCGACGAAGGGGAAAGTATATACAATATAATACAATGCATAGCAATCTGTCCTTGGGATAACCACGATCGGTAGACCATAAATATGACACGTGGGATTTATTTTTCTATAATTATTTCCATCTCTCAACCGCCCTCCCCTAAAAACTAAAAATAATTAAAAATTATTATGATTGTAAAAAAAACTATTGCGGTTAACGACTTGTTCTATTAGCATTTTTCATTACATTATTGTTAAGTCCAACTATGACCTCTGTCTCGACCACTGTATCAGGGCAGCGTGTAATAAAACTCCCAAAAATGTACGGAAGAAATTGTTTTATTAAACGTCGGGACAAAATCGATGTATATCATTACAGTGTGTCACCTCCACATGTCCTTGCCCTATGTCATAGTTCTCACCATTGCTATCGGATGACAGTGAAGAAATATTTGAGTAGGGTGTGCGTATCAAAAAACTGTTTATTATATACTTATCTATTTGCCATAATAAAAATAACCGGATGTTTTAAATTGTTTGGAAGATCATCACATTTTTCGAAGTTTTGAGACTGCTCTGCGGTTCGGGCAATTTTCAATATCAAAAAAAATAAATCAATAACTTACTTGAAAAAATTCGAAACTGGTGTTAAAAATTACGTTTTGCCGCCGAAACAAATGTGAATTTGTAAAACTGTTCAACGTGAGTAAAGAACCTACGTTTTTCAAAAATCTCCATCCAGTTGAAATAATAATTCGCATACAATTTGAAGTGGGAAGCATTTTAATTAATTATCAAATGCCCAATGACACACATATATATATATATATATATATATATATATATATATATATGACCATACATATAATGACCAATATAGCAATAGTTTCACGTTTCGGTGTATTATTTCATTCCGGTCGTTCCGTTGTAGCAAACATAATTCGTTCGTATTACTGGAGATTTTCGGCGGAAATGTAGTCCAGCGGACATACTTATCGAAAAACGTCACGCAGATTCGATTTCGTTCGACTTTTCCGGAATTCGGTTCCTGCAAATTCATGTCCGACGCACCCGACGGGGTTGATTCCCGACACTAATTTTTTATCGCGATTAGGAGACAAAATCCTGGTTTTCGAAAACCGTTATCGCTATATGATGCCAATAAATATTGTAAAAAGCCAGATAAACATGAGTTGGTCACGAGTCGGCTAATGATGTAGTCTATATCAGATAGGAAGGTAAATGGAAAAAGGGATCTAGGACGACCAAGAACAGCTTACATTAAGACCGTGATATCCGAGGCAGATCTAATAAACTACAAGGAATTGAATAGGCTAGTTGGTTACAGAGAAGAATGGAGAAAATATGAAAAACTGTTAAACTAATACGAGAGTTGAACATAAGAACAAAAATGTGTGACAAAACGCTAGTCTGAGTAGATCTCGGTAAGTCGGAAGGATTAGTCGTGCTTCGCAGCTAAAGTTACCTAGAAGTTAATTAATATTAAAACTGTTACGATGTTTTCGCACGTTTTTGAAATAAAAGACCGCATATTGGAAAATTGTTTACATTTTTTTCTATTTCGAGATAATTCTCCTTACTCGTCCATGTCTGGTGTTACAAATCCTTTTGACTCGTATGCTTTGATTGTAATTTATCATGTTATTACGTATGTCAAATATCGTAATTGTGTGGGACACTGAGGCGATATCAAATATTATAAGCACGTAAACCTATACCATAATATACTCGTAATAATAATAATGCGCGCGTGGAACGCGAGTATTATCAATAGCATACACACAAAACCTTTCGAAAATGTCCATTAGTTAATTAAATCTTTTGTATAAGAATTAATAATTATCGTTTATATTAATGGTGGTTATTTAAACGTGTATACAGATATTTCGATAAGTTCTCAGTAAATTATATTCGAATATTTCAAAGACTACATAATTTTACATTTACGTAGGCCCGTAGATTTAGAATTACGAAGAACTAATTGACGTATCTGCGTGAATGTAAATGAAATATCATGCGCAATATTCCGCACCGTCTTAGCTCGATAAATGAAAATATTTTATTATTTGAATTATTTTATTTTTTAATCATGAGAAATTGCACTAGGCGCGTATTTTTAGGGGGAAATCTCTGGTGTACGCCTAGTACACTATAGTGGAGAATGTAAAAAAAGTATGTATTACTATTCAAATATTATTAATATAAAAAAAAAAAAAAATAAACAAACCAATTAGGTATAATTATTTTAGAATTTTTTTTACATTCTTCGATTTTTGTTAATATCAATATAAATACAAGAACATTGATACGCTCTATTGCACTCACGCAGTTAGTAATACGATGTTGTATTGAATAAATTCTCGAAATAATAGTAAAAATTAGCAAAAATAATTTGCAGTAAAATAGTCGGAAAAACTTACTTTATATGATACCTGTATTAATATTAATTATTAATTTCCCCGCTCGAAGAATTTCGGTTTTGTACAGTTAGTTACGCTCGAAATCACGGTTGACCCTCCCCCCCCCCTTATTTGACTAAACAAACGTATTTACTTTACATGTATAGAAAGGTACTTTAACATCGCAATAGCGTTGAACTCCTTACACTGCCAGCCTTCTGATTTACAACAGTATCTTCCTTACTTGCATTAAACCTCGGCACATCAACATACTTAACGCTTTAGAAGAGGGTTACCATAATTTTAAACGGTCAAAACTCGTGCGTAAAGAGTGGTGGTCCGTTAAAAACAATGATGTTCCTGAATCAAGTTTGAATCTGCTCGAATGGTTCACGTAAAATTAAACGACATTCAAACAATGCTAATGACAAAAAAAAAAAAAAAAAAAAATACTATTGTTACAAATACAATTAAACTATTAAAAACTTCAATAATAATAATAATAATAAACACATCAAAAACTACAAATAAAGCTCGTAAAAAGAATTTATGGAACTAATGAAATTATTCACTGAAATAACTAAAATACGATTATATAATACGCACATATGAAAAACATTAATGCATTTTAAATTATATTTGTAAAATGTAAATGTTTTTAAAATTCAGAATTAACTGAATATTACCGTTTACGAACATTTATATACGAGTAAATGCTTATTCTCATGGATGTATTTGTTATGTTTTTAAGAAATGTCTTCCCTTGTTCAGCAATACTTTTTTAATGAAATATCGTATCTTATCAGTTAGAGAATAATGATAACTTTTGGCGCGATTATAAATAGGGCAGTGTGACCAATAATTTAAAAAATGAAAACTTTAAAATCCAACACATAACTATTTATTGATAAAATAAATTTGGTATGCCAATAACCGTACCTTTACTTTTCTATAATAGAAATATTCATTTTAAAACAATCAATAACCAAATACTAGAATAACACAATACTATACAAAACCACAACCGTATTACTTTTGAATATCAACATGATATCGGAGGAAGGAGGGGGTTAAATATCTATTTAGCACATCTATGATACTGACCCTATGCATATATAAACAAAAGAGCTAAAAACACCCTCTTTCTTCAATAACTTATTGAATATCATAATGAAATTAAACTCAGCTTTTATCACTTCAATTCGTCTAAAAAGTAACTCTAGTTTCTGAGGTTTACCTCATTTGATTCAAAGGAAACCACTAAAAGTATTCAAAACTAGAAATTATTAATATTAATTTTATGTGATCGCACTTAGTGAACCACCCTGTATATATAAAAACGAATGTACGTCTGTTTGTCCTTTATGCATTACTACACTATTCATCCAATTACAATGAAACTATGGGGAGTTATTGTTCCATTACGTTGTCCAGAAAAGGTTTATAGCTAATGAAAACCATTCTCAAACATTTAGTTTTTGGTAGGTATTTTTAGTATAAATATCTTATTTTTTTTACTGATTTATGGGTCGACTTATTAACACGGATGGAAATTAAATATTATTATTAATTTTCGTTGTGCTTTGTGAATAGCATAAAATGATAACTCATCTATTAACATTATATAGAAACTT